CCCGGCGCCGGCCCTGGGTGCGAGGGCAGGGCCAGGGGCCATGCCAAGATTCCTGGCTCTGCCCCTCAATCCCCACCCACCCCACCAGCCCCTCCTGCATTTACCAGTAGCAAAGACCCTCCACCCTCAATTGCAGCAAGGGGTGTGAGGGCTTTTGTGGAGGTGGCACCCAGGAGGAAAGAGACCCCATGCCCTTGTGCACTCACAACACACACACAATACATGCACACATACTCACACAACGCGCATACACACACACAATACATGCACACATACTCACACAACGCGTGTACACACACATACACAACACACAATACATGCACACATACTCACACAACGCACGTACACACACGCACATACACAACATACAATACATGCACACATACTAACACAACACGCATACACACGCACATACACAACACACAATACATGCACACATACTCACACAACGCCCATACACACACACATACACAACACACACACAATACATGCACACATACTCACACAACGCGTGTACACACACATACACAACACACAATACATGCACACATACTCACACAACGCGTGTACACACACATACACAACACACAATACATGCACACATACTCACACAACGCGCATACACACACACATACACAACACACACACAATACATGCACACATACTCACACAACGCACGTACACACACACACACACAACACACACAATACATGCACACATACTCACACAACGCACGTACACACACGCACATACACAACACACAATACATGCACACATACTCACACAACGCGCGTACACACACATACACAACACACAATACATGCACACATACTCACACAACACCATACACACACATACACAACACACACACAATACATGCACACACTCACACAACGCGCGTACACACACATACTCACACAACGCGCATACACACACACATACACAACACACACACAATACATGCACACATACTCACACAACGCACGTACACACACGCACATACACAACACACAATACATGCACACATACTCACACAACGCGTGTACACACACATACACAACACACAATACATGCACACATACTCACACAACGCGTGTACACACACATACACAACACACAATACATGCACACATACTCACACAACGCGTGTACACACACATACACAACACACAATACATGCACACATACTCACACAACGCGTGTACACACACATACACAACACACAATACATGCACACATACTCACACAACGCGTGTACACACACATACACAACACACAATACATGCACACATACTCACACAACGCGTGTACACACACATACACAACACACAATACATGCACACATACTCACACAACGCGTGTACACACACATACACAACACACAATACATGCACACATACTCACACAACGCGTGTACACACACATACACAACACACAATACATGCACACATACTCACACAACGCGTGTACACACACATACACAACACACAATACATGCACACATACTCACACAACGCGTGTACACACACATACACAACACACAATACATGCACACATACTCACACAACGCGTGTACACACACATACACAACACACAATACATGCACACATACTCACACAACGCACGTACACACACGCACATACACAACATACAATACATGCACACATACTAACACAACACGCATACACACGCACATACACAACACACAATACATGCACACATACTCACACAACGCCCATACACACACACATACACAACACACAATACATGCACATACTCACACAACGCGCGTACACACGCACATACACAACACACACACAATACATGCACACATACTCACACAACGCGTGTACACACACATACACAACACACAATACATGCACACATACTCACACAACGCCCATACACACACACATACACAACACACAATACATGCACATACTCACACAACGCGCGTACACACGCACATACACAACACACACACAATACATGCACACATACTCACACAACGCGTGTACACACACATACACAACACACAATACATGCACACATACTCACACAACGCCCATACACACACACATACACAACACACAATACATGCACATACTCACACAACGCGCGTACACACGCACATACACAACACACACACAATACATGCACACATACTCACACAACGCGTGTACACACACATACACAACACACAATACATGCACACATACTCACACAACGCGTGTACACACACATACACAACACACAATACATGCACACATACTCACACAACGCGTGTACACACACATACACAACACACAATACATGCACACATACTCACACAACGCGTGTACACACACATACACAACACACAATACATGCACACATACTCACACAACGCGTGTACACACACATACACAACACACAATACATGCACACATACTCACACAACGCGTGTACACACACATACACAACACACAATACATGCACACATACTCACACAACGCGTGTACACACACATACACAACACACAATACATGCACACATACTCACACAACGCGTGTACACACACATACACAACACACAATACATGCACACATACTCACACAACGCGTGTACACACACATACACAACACACAATACATGCACACATACTCACACAACGCGTGTACACACACATACACAACACACAATACATGCACACATACTCACACAACGCGTGTACACACACATACACAACACACAATACATGCACACATACTCACACAACGCACGTACACACACGCACATACACAACATACAATACATGCACACATACTAACACAACACGCATACACACGCACATACACAACACACAATACATGCACACATACTCACACAACGCGTGTACACACACATACACAACACACAATACATGCACACATACTCACACAACGCACGTACACACACGCACATACACAACATACAATACATGCACACATACTAACACAACACGCATACACACGCACATACACAACACACAATACATGCACACATACTCACACAACGCGTGTACACACACATACACAACACACAATACATGCACACATACTCACACAACGC